GTTACAAAAAAAAAACAGATTGTATTGTTGGCGATGTCTTCTGTTCTATACAGAAAAAAATGGATGGACCAGCAGCGGAGTCAACGATTTAAATAGTTTTAGGGCTCTAAAGAGGAGACTTGAAATTTCTCCGTTACATGTGAGATGTGTAGCCAATTTAATTCAGTTTGGCAAAACAAGCATCGAAAGTAGTCTTAAACAAGCTTTTAGGCTCTAGATACCGTATATTTTTTTGGCAAAACAGGAATTACCGTTCATTTTCAAGGGAATGACTCTGACAATAGAGGAAATTACAGGGAATTGTTAACATTCATTGACAAAAAAGATCAAAAATTTTCCGAACATCTAGAAACGTCGACTGTTTTTTCGGACGGCTTAGATTAGTCATAGCATAAGACGATGAGGTATATCAAGTGCCCCAGACGCTCAGTCCAGGAATGTTTACCTTAATTTGAAAATAGTTTAAATAAATTTATTTATAAATTATATTTGGGAGGTTCAAAATGAACTTTTTTTAGTAAGATTTTTCACATCTGGTTTTGGTAACAGTTTAGGAAAAGTCACGAGTCGCCACTGATAAATACTACACTGTTGATGCCTATCATCATAGTAAATTGTCCCCATATTCCTGTCAAATTTTGTTGATGAGTTGTGACTTGCATTGGGTTACGTATGTCATTGAAGAATTTATTATTTCTGGCAAAGTATTGTAAGCTTTTATAACATCAACTTATAACTCAAATGTGCACGTAATGATGAATGAAATAACAGTGAAAATAGTTAATAACTAAATACTTTAATATTTTCTATCAAGTTGCCTTCACATTTCAAAAACACATTTTTGAATTATCCGTCATTTTCATTAAGCAGAGTGTGTTAAATATGCTGCAATAACCATATATTATTCGCTAGCGCTGATGTAGGGCACACAGTGCAGTCGGTCGGCCGGCCTACTCGTAGTGACGTCACGCGTCTGTTGTCAGGCCTTGTCCTCGGTGGTAACGACCTAGTATGTTGACATTAATAAGCCAACCACATGCCTTTTTGTAGACTTAGCCAAAGCATTCTATAGCATTACTCATCAAAAACTATTAAAAACCTTTGAAAATTTTGGATTTCGTGGAAACACTTATCAACTCATGGAAAGTTATATGGATGACAGAAAACCAAGTATGAACATTAATAGTTCACAAAGTGGTAATATTTCAGTTACAAGGAATCCTATCAGGACCAATCTTGTATAATTTGTATATTAATGACCTTTTTAAGTTGCAAAACGATAGAGAATTGTTGATCTTCTTGACGACCTGACGATTATTTATTCAGATAAAGATTGGGTTTCTTTGAAAGGCAAAATTGTACGGTAAGTCAGCTTCAACAAAATATATTTTATTACAAATTTTAATCAACTCCAAATTAAAACGGTGAGTAGGTAGAAAAACATAAAATCAGTTGGTAATTTCAAACACTTAGGGATAACCATCTGAGATGAAATATACACTTTGAAAATTTAATAAATAAATATAGATATCTCATTCCGAAAATTAAATATTTTAGCAGTTTTTAGAGTGAACAATATCTACGCATGATATATCATGGCTTTGTTCAATCATTATTACCTTATGGAATCTTAGCATGGGGGAGTCATGAATGATTATTATAAAATATTGAAATCACGCAGAAGTGGATTTTGAAGGTTAAGTTGAACAAAAAGAGAAAACAGAAAATCATTACAGCGAATCTCAGTTTTTCGATTGCCCCCAAATATATTTTTATCATATAATAATATATTTAACAATAAATCCAAAATTGTTACATTCTATTAGCCACAACCATTACAAGCGATTCAAGGAAGCATCTGTACTTATCCACAGACTAAATTAAACTATCAGCCAAATATCGTTCTAGTTTCTAGACTCAAAATTTTATAATGTTATTCCTACAAACGTTAGATATATAAAATGTAAAAAACGTTTAAAATTGAGTTAAAATCGTGGATCTTCAATCATCCAAAACTGGTACACATTAAAAATCAATATGTCATTTGATAATAAATTGATACAATTTTATATATTTGGAAGGCACAGGTGTATTCTTTTTTGGGTATCTTATGTTTATTGAACAGTACCGTCACTATTTATACAAAAACTGTACAAAATGTTGCTCCAAAACTGTTAGCGAATCTGGTGGATCGTTTTCAAGAAAGGCTAAGAAAGTTCCGGTTCTCAATAAGCTCACTAAAGAAATGGAATTATAGTATTTAATTCCCTAAAAAACTTCCTCAGCTGCCCAACATATTCCGTGCAATTACCTCGTACTAAAATTTTCTTTCTAAATCGCGATTACTGTACCAAATTTTCTTTCAATATATAACATGGTCTTATTTATGAGATACATTAACTAAGATCATTACCTAGGTCAGGGCTGTCCAACATACGGCCCGCGGGCAGCGAACTCCTTTCTTGCGGCCCGCTTCACGGGTCATGTATACATAACATGTATAAATTACTCTCAAATATATGTACAATTCTTACATTAACGATAAAATACAATAACATGTGACGCCACTGGTGATCGATAGCAGGCCGCAGCTAATTTACTGGAAATTGGACCGACCTCTCGATCATCCCCGAATATTCGAGAAGCCACGGGCGCGTATACAAGTATAAGAAGGTTGAATCAAGCGGGACAGGCAGTTTTGTTCTAGTGCTAGTGAGTTTCAGTACACAGCAACTCTAAAGCCTTTTTAAGTGAAATACTCCGTGAAATATGTCTTCACAGAAACGAAAAATGACGAACGAACATCGAGTTTATAATGACCGTTGGGAATCAGAATATTTAATCTCGAACAATAATAATAAACTGCAGTGCATTGTTTGTATGCAAGTACTATCGGTTCCTAAAGAATATAATATGAAACAACGTTACACGAGAAAACGTTTCAGCAATATTCAGGGGACTCGAGGCAGGCTATCATAACGGAATACAAGAAAAAATGTAAAACAGCAAACAAGTTTTTTCAAAAAATCTGACTCTGATAACAAGTGCAGTATTGCCGCCTCTTACAAAATAGCGCTGGAAATTGCCAAAGCAAAAAAACCGTTTAGTGATGGAGTGCTTATCAAAAAGTGTGCAATAGAAATGGCGAAACAATTCAATGAATTAAAAGTTGCCGAAAAATTTGAAACAGTCTCAGTATCGCATCAAACAATTGCAAGACGGGTGGGGTGGACCATATCAATGAACATGTTACCAAAAAATTGCGTGACGTGGTTGAAAAATGTAAATATTTTTCGCTATGCCTGGATGAAAGCACTGATCTGTCTGACATTAGCCAGCTTGTAATTTTTATCCGAACTATTCAAGACGACTTAAGTGTAGCAGAGGAGATGCTTGACCTTATTCTTCTCCATGGTACAATCAAGGGTACAGAATTTTTGAAGCTGTGAATAAGTTGCTGTCAGACTACGGGGGATTTGATGATTGAAACAAAAGAGCATCAACTGTCCTATGATACATTGTATTGTTCACCAAGAGAGCTTATTTGGAAAATCTTTACGTAAAATAAATGTCATGAAAGTGGCTGTTAAAATAACTAATATTGTGAGAGGGGGCAATCGTGCTTTGACTCACAGAAAGTTTCGTGATTTTTTGGCCGAAGTGGATGCTACATATGGGGACTTGTTACTTCACACCGATGTTCGTTGGTTAAGCGCCGGAAAGTGTTTGCAACGATTTTTAGCTCTACGCATGGAAATTCCTATTTTCCTTAAAAATGAAGTGAAGTCCGACACTACGGAACTGGAAAATCAAATGGCAGATGCACAATTTTTAGCAGACCTTGCATTTTTAACAGACATGACATCTCACCTTAACGAATTGAATTTGATCCTACAAGGAAAACAGCATGATATTGCCAACTTATTTGGGCACATAAATGGGTTTAAGAATAAAATTAAGCTTTTCAAGTCTTCATTACAAAAAAATGATTTTTCATTTTTTCCAAGTTGTAAAGAACATTTCGAAGAAATGAAGGATTTTGATGAAGTTTCATATTTACCTCATATAAAATAGATTGACACAATTGCGGAAGAATTCAAAAATCGATTTAGTGACTTTAAAAAAACGAAAGCGACATTTCAGTTTTTACTCAGCCACTAACAATTTCTGTTGAGAACGTAAGCAGACCAGACCTTCAACTGGAATTGTGTGATTTGCAATCAGATCCTTTTTACCAAGGAAGAACTAAAACTGTCTTGGACTTTTTTAAGTTACTGCCTGGAGAACGATACCCCAACTTGCGAAACTTAGGACTTACAATTTGATCAATGATGGGAAGCACGTATCTTTGCGAAATCAGCTTTTCCAACATGAAATTTATCAAGTCAAAGTATAGATGTTCCCTCTCTGATAAGTCACTTACTCAGTTACTTCGTTTATCAACAACGAATATTAATGTTAATATTGATGCATTAGTATTAGAAAACCAACATCCTCAAATGTCCCACTGATTTTTTTGTAATTTCATATTTTTTGAATAAATAAAAATAATAGAAAAACTATTTTTGTATACCATATAGTATAGCATAGGTATACCTATTAAAACTCAGTAATAATGTTGTATAGAAAGATTTTGTAATGCGACCCTTGGCCCACATTAAGTTGGACAGCTCTGACCTAGGTTATATTTGTGGTCACCGACAGATTGGTTTGCCAGATCCTGAAACTTAGAAATTTTTTCCAAAATGTGCGTGGTTGCCAAGTTTTTGGGTATTTAACAGATACCCTACCCTGTATATCATCCTTGCACCTAAGTCAATGACAGTAAGGGAAAGCTATAGATATATGTGTAATTTAACCGAAAATCCCTTATTTATTCACCACATCTTTTTTAACCAGATAGGTACCTCTCTAATGACCTGAACAAAAGTATGCTTTTTAGATGCAGCTCATCGCGGATATACGTTTTGATTAACGTTTGAATTGAAAAAAAAACTTACCGATAATATGCTCGATATAAAACTATCTAAAGCAGTTGTTGTAGTCGAGTTAGCACCAATGGGAACAGCTGTTGTTGGGGACGTTGAGTCAGAAAAACCATTTGTTAGGCATGACATTTTGCAGTATCTGTTCTGTGTAGTTTGTGTTATGGTCTACTGTAGATAATCTGTAAAACGAATAATTTGCTGTGGTTACATAAATTTTGTCAATTTTTCGACGACGACCGAGCTTTAGGGGTTTTTAGAGGTTTAACGTCACTGTCACATTGAAATCTATAACAAATTGCACCGTGTTGTCAATATTTTGACATTTTTCATGACGGGGCGGCCTACTACGAACTTGTTTATAAAATTCAGCATAATAAATTAATATGAAACAACGTATACAGGATGTTGGTTGTGAGCTATAGGTGATACTTGGATTATAAAATAGAAATATAAAAATCGGATAGAAAGAGATCGTGGACCTTCAACTAGTATTAGTCGCACACATCTAGGAGGCGAGTTTTATTAAAGCCTCCAATTTTGACAGGTTCTATGTTATATAGAAGAGTAAGCTTCTTTAACTACAAGGTGGTCATTATACAAATAAACTAATTTGTTATTCCAATATTTTCAAAATGAAATTAAATATATAGATCCAATTTTTTCGTTAACATTAAGATATGTATTAAAAATGATTTCCTGTTGGAGGTTTATCCAGATACCGTGTATAACAAGAACAGTGATATGCGCCAGACTGTAGAGAGGCGGCAATTTGTTGAAAACAAAAATAGAATTTGGAAAATACATTACTTTTACTTCCTATACCGCTGGCGCCGATGTTTTGTAAAAATTTCGAAAACGGGATGTTTTTTTGGGTGCCTGTCTGCCTGCCTGACCGCTAATCCTTGACCCCTCTATAACTTGGAAAGTACCAGTCGGATTTTGATGAAATTGTCACACAAGGTTACTACTATTCCAAGGACGAAAAAGCTTTATATAGGATTGTCCAATAGGGACGCAGGAAAGTAAACGTCAATTTGACATAGACGCCATCTTTGTTTTCTGTCACCGACATGTCATTTTGTTAGTTGAATGTTTACCATTGATCGCTATGGAGTCGTATTCGATTGAAGGCCGCATTAAAGTTATTCAAGAGCACTACAAAAATGGTGCAAAAATAAAAAACACGTTTCGCGCGCTTCGTGAACATTTCGGTCACCGCCCAAACGAAACAACCATCGGTCGTCTGGTGCGTAAATTCGAGGCAACAGGTTCTGTGGCAAATCTGCCAGGCTCTGGCCGGCCAAGGAGCGTTCGCACACCGGTAAATATTGCTGTTGTGAAGGAGAGTGTGAGAGACGATCCGAAACACTCAACAACGCGTCGATCCCAAGAATTGGGCATTTCGAGAACCAGTTTGCTCCGCATTCTCCACAAGGATTTGAATGTACACGCCTACAAGATCCAATTGACGCAAGAGCTGCGTCGGGCCGACCATTTTTCGCGCCGAACGTTCTCAGATTGGCTCCTTGAACACCGTCACATTGATGCCAATTTTTCATCAAACATCATGTTCAGCGACGAAGCGCATTTCACTTTGAATGGGACGGTAAACAAGCAAAACTGCCGCATCTGGGCGAACGAAAATCCCCATGAGTATCAAGAGCAGCCGATGCATCCTCAAAAAGTGACTGTGTGGTGTGCATTGTGGTCAAAAGGCATCATCGGACCTTACTTTTTCGAAAATGCGGGCGGGGACGCCGTTACCGTCAATTCTGAGCGATATCACGTGATGATAGAGGACTATTTTTTGCCGCAACTTGAAGGAATGGATATGGACGATGTTTATTTCCAACAAGACGGTGCAACATGCCACACAACCAACGTCAATAAACATCGATTGCAGTCCTTCTTCGGTGATCGCGTGATTTCGCGCAGAGGAAATGTGCCATGGCCACCAAGATCGTGCGATTTGACTCCCTAGGACTTTTTTTTATGGGGATATTTGAAAAGCAAAGTCTACGTCAACAAACCAGCCACCCTCCAAGAACTCAAAAACAACATCATTGCCGTGATAAATGCCATAGAACCGACCATGTTGCAAAATGTCATTGAAAATTTCGACCATCGCGTGGACGTCTGTAAATCCAGTCGTTGTGAACATTTGAGCGATATTATTTTTCATACATAAATGGGTATAAATAAACCTTCAAAATAAAGTACCCAACTTGATTTGAATATCAATCTTTCTTGTTTTAATATGCGTTTACTTTACTGCGTCCGTTTTGGACAACCCCATAGTTTTTTAATACAATCCAGTGGCGGCGGATTTAGGGGCAAAAAAGTAAAACGATAAAATTAAAAATAATGGATCTGAGAACTGACCGGATTTGAAGCACACTCCTATATTATAACAACTATTTCTGATATGGGCCTGTAATACGACATGTTTGTATAATAGCTAAAGATGTATGGACATTATACTTTGTTCTTGTTTCCGCGCTATAGCAAAAATATACTTTTCATAGATATGGCGCTGCGTGGCCCAAAAACCCTTGATCGGCCGCTTATCTTATGCCGGCCCTGATTTTTGGTCCCTACCGATGTTGTCCTTGAATCTATCGAATTTCAACGAACCCATCTACCGAATTCGTATTTTTTGATTTGATTTAGTAAAAATGTTTTATTTTCTACGTGATTGATTTGCAATTAAAATACAAAATACGGCTCATTGCAAATCTCAAAAGGCATGTTTTTTTTTCTGGCTTTAATACCGGTATCAAACGTGGTAACGGAAGCAGAATTTCAAATTCCAATTTCAGTATAACTTGCAGTGAACTTTATTTATAGCTACGTTATAAAATCCAGGCAATCCCAACGGAAGCAAAATCTAACGAAAGGTATAATTTTAATAAAGAATAAACTGTTTAAGCTTATAAACCCTGTTAATAGCTAACTACACAAATTCCATCAGTTGCGAAGCACTAAAAATTAAACATTAATTTGAAAAACCTTGTTTTTTGTTTATTCCGAACCACAACCATATATCCGGATTTGTTTTACCTTCTTCCACGATTTGACTCAACAGTGCATATGACTGACGCATTGTTTTGTTGCTGAAAAGCTGTGCAAAACTTTGATATTTTTTATCAGTCAGTTGTAGTTTTTGTAGCTGACTGGAATTATGCGCAACCTATTATTACTTAAAAATATTATTAAGATGCGGCAGATTAATTTTTAAAATACTTATTTTCCATCAAGGCATTCTCCTCATTCGGCAAAATTTGTTGTTTCACATCATAAGCTCTCAGTGAATTTTACGTCATACTCTATTAGGCTCCTGAAATCGATTTTCATTACAGAAAATTATGTATTCATCACGATAGCTATACAGTTCTTCGGCCTTTTGAAGAGAACTATACATTATAATAATCACACAACTGAATTGCATGTTTATGAATAGATTGTCCTACTTTCAGTTTCTCATTTGGATAGGCCTTTTGAAAATCTGAACCTAAAGGTTGTAACTACGTACTAGAAATTTGGCCTGAAAAATACAGATAATATCGGCACCCCACATATCCGTCATTCCATTCCCCTCAGTTTACAATTGTTTCCTGAAAATTTTTCCAATATTATTATATTTTTGAATTTTTACTTTTCTGATTTATAGCTGAAGAACGCATGTGTAATAATTGTGTTCATTTTGAAAGTGTTTCGTTTGTTACCGTGTAACAGAATAATCCATTCTTTAAGAAAATCGATCTAGGAGCAGAGCACGCAGTATAATTGAATAGAATCTTTGATTCACAGGAAATATTCCTATATTTCAGTCTTAACTAATAAATATAGTATTTACGCAAGGCTTTATTTTAATCAAAGAGCTGTGATAAGGCAAAAATAGATGCTTTGGAACTACACCCGATGCCATAAACAATAGAATATAAAAATATACAGCGCGTTACATTTGCTTTTCTTGACCCCCCTGTATGTCAATACAAAATCAAAAATCGGAAAATTAGTTAAAACAAGTCTAAATTCAGGACAATAGAATTTTTTTGGTGAGAATTGTAATAGTGCAGCTACAAAAAAGGTGCGGGGTAGGACATTCGTATTTCTTAGAGAGAATTCCTAATAGTTCAGCAAAGAATTGTCAAAATACATGCGTATCTGACATCAATGTCCTTATTTAAAAGGAATGATGAATTGATGATTTTTTTTACAAATATCGGAGAAAAATTAGGAAATGATATAAAAAGCGATTCTAATAAATTTAAGTTACATGAAAAAAGATTCTCATTTGTTCTGACCGAAGTCGATGCTCAAGAAGTTTTGAACACTATTAACACTATCAGAACCATTTGGTTATGTTAGAAATAAATGTCTACGGTCTGGAATATTTCCCTCAGCCTTTAAATCAGCTGTTATCATTCCTATCTATAAAACAGGCGATAATCAGGCAAATTATCGACCAATATCACTCATATCGTCTTTGGCTAAGGTATTCGAAAAATTACTCTCTAGTAAGATGATAAATTTCCTTGATAAATTCAACATTCTAAGTCCAAATCAATACGGTTTTGTAACAGCAAAATCTACCACAGATGGTATACTAATTCTAGTGAATCAAGTCATCCAAAACCTTGATGAGAAAATTCCATTTATTTGTGTATTTGTCGGTCTGAAAAAGGTATTCGATACAGTTAATCACACTTTACTGTTAAATATTTTAGACAAATTAGGTTTTCGTGGGAAAATATGTTCTTCGATGCAAAGTTATTTACCAAAAAGGCCACAACTAGTGAAACTATCAAAATCATACAGTAGGGAAATGTTTGTCAAATGTGGTGTACCTCAGGGTACAGTGTTAGGCCCTCTTCTATTTAATAGATCTATTTGAATGATATATTCAATATTAACTGTGTAGGTAAATTAATTAGTTTTGAGAATAAATTTTGTAAAATCATTCATTTTTTCAACAACAGAAAATTAACAGTGAACTTTGAAAAAACGCATTTTCTACCCTTCACATCATTCGCAAGTCATAGACCTGATTATTCAAATATTTTCTTCAAAATAAACAATACAAATTTAAAAATTGAGAGAGTGGGCAATATCAAATATTTAGGAATTTTTTTAGATCAACATTTTAAAGAAAATAAGATTTATTAGCGACAGCCTGTATAATTGCATATATTTGACTTTCCTCTTGAGTTTTCTTCAAAAAGCCTTGGCCAAGGCTATCGTCCAGCGTCCATGCACGGCTGTGTCACCATGTGTGTGTAGCCATC